TATTTTTCCAAGTATTGAGGTAAGACTCGGTCCTAGTTTATCAATTTTCGAGTAAAATCTAATTGGATTGTTACTTTTACCAAAAGTTAAGGGTAAGAGCAGTGATGCTCAGCTAAGATTCAATAGCAATCGAGAACTAAACTATACGGTGACCCCCAACAAATAAAGCAGAATAAAGTTTATGAAAAAGAGAGTATAAAATATCTTGTTTTAATGTATTCCCCTGAATTCTTTATGCTTTAATAGTGGGAGAGAGAACGAAAAGAGATTCACTCACAAAAAAGTTTTCCCATTAGACTCCCAGTTACTTTTTTTGTTTGGCTCCTAAATCAATCCAATTACTCTCAATTAACTACTTTTATACTTCTCCACTTCTAAACTTCGTAGATGAAACACAGAATAGACGCTTTACTTATTTAGTTTTGATATTTCGGTCTCCATATTTCACGAAATTTCAACAAGACACTTAATCTTGTACAAATTAATTTTTTTAAACCCTTTTGACCGGCATTTGTTTTGCTGAATGAGAGAGTGTGTGATCACACGCTCCCAAAAGCAAGTGATTGATTAATTCTGATTAAAAAATATTAAAAATAAATAAAAGAAAAGAAAAGAAATGTAATGCCAAACAATTTTCTTCTCCCCCCTACCCTGGCCCATTCGATTCTTCCGTCACCACCATAACATCAAGAGCTTCAGCAATGTTTTTCTTCTCCGCCAATGAATTTTCATTACTATCTTCTTTTCGTGCTTGCCCATTTAATTTCTCTCAGATTTGTAAAAAGAAAAACTTATTGAAATATCTATTAATCAAGGTGATTATTAACCATAGTTTCTTAGCAGACAAATCTTTTTTTCATAGCGTGTTTCTTTCTCTCTTTTTGGGTGGGAGAAGGAGATGTTCGTTTTAAGAGGTGGACGTATTTGGTATTTGTGGAATTGAGATTTAGTGTTGTGAAAGTTAGAATTTCGTAGGCACTTCACTAAAATTTGAAGGAGAATCCCACCTCAAACAACTCCAAGCCATTAATCCTCTCCCCTTTTTGAAAATACAAGATTAATAATACCATCCATGGTCGCTATTTTCAGCAATCAAAACCAACTAGAACTCCGGTGAAAATGGGGATCTATGGTGAGAAAGAGAAAGGAAAAAGGAGGGTCGCCATAGTGAGTCTTTTCCAGCAAAGCCCCCTCGAGATTCAAGGTGATCTCCTGAATGTTCGATATTCCAAGGATCTATGATGTTGCTTGCTGGTCATGGACCCTGATTCGTTTGTTGTCTGGGTTTTGAGAGGGTGATGTGAAGGTAAAGAAGAGGAGAGGTAGGTGGAGGAGGGAGAGATGAAATGTGATAAAGAGAGGAGGAAGGTTTGAGATACTTTCTTTTTTTGTTGGAGAAAATGAGATGGAATTGGATTTTTTTATCAAAAATGATACTCCATCGGTTTCGTGATTTGACTGTCACATAGTTTAAGAAAAGAAATAAGATTTTTAAACTTATGAGGTAAAATGAGACACATATATTTTGCATAAAACTAATTTGTCTTCAAATAGGGAAATGAGTCATTCTTTTTGACACATACTAAAAAAGAAATAATTTCACATAAATTGAAACGGAAGAAATATGTCCATGTCAGGGCAAGTGAGCAGCACACATTGTCGGCGGTGTTTAAAACTTATGTTTTGGTCGAGTACAAGTGTCTCGTTGAAACTTCGTGGAGTAACGGAAAACAAGTAGAGGCATCTATTAGGATATTCTGCCTAGATGAAAAGACAATTGAAAACAAGGACTTGAGGAAAAAAAATTAAAAAGTTCAAAGTTTTTCAACTACATTTTACTTCATAACTTCTAGCATCGTACAGAAATAAACAATTGAAAATAAAACTTCAAGAAAAGCTCTTAACAGAAAAGTTCTAAGCTTTTGCAATGATACTGTTGCTAGTGCGATACTGTACCAAAGGACGCTCCTATATTTGATTTCCTCATTCTACAACTATTCCGAATTCCCGAGTCTATTTTCAATGAGGAAATGCAGTAATACAGAAGAAAAGAAACAAAGAACAGTTTTAGGCCATCTGCGGCAATCCAACTGCATAGTCTCACACAATTTAGCATTGATTGAAAATGCAATATAACAAGAGAACATCTCACAGGCCTATAGGCCAATTATAACATGTAGTATGTCTTATTTAAAGACGGAGTATTAGCACACAATGTAAAAAACCAGGTGAAGTTGATATTATAAGTAAGACACTTGTTTACTTCCACTTCTTGAATTTGCCTCCGAACATCCCGCCTTTGCCATGCTTTCCGTGCTTGAATTTCCCATGCTTGCCATGCTTAAACTTGCCTCCATAATGACCGCCTCCATAATGACCGCCTCCATGTCCATAGTGAGCAGCACCGTGTCCCATGTGAGATCCACTTCCGTGTGCCAGGTGATGAGCACCATAGGCAGCAGCTGCAGCTGCAGCACCTCCGGCTAACATCGCCCCCATGCCCCCATGACCTGAAATGTAACAAGCAACAAAAGGGCAAAAAATACCATCAACAATGAAAGAAAATGTCAAAAAGTATTTGGTCACAAAGAGCTATCTATTATGAAGCACACCTAGAATTGTATGTACTCTGCTTCAGTGCTCACAATATATAAACTGTTCTTTCCATATTTGTGCATCTAATTGTAAAAGAGATCCAAAGAAATTTAACTAGACAAATCCAACATATTGTGCACTTGCTATAGTTACAGCTTTCTATTATTCATTGGGGCCTAAATAAATCAGTTCCAAAGATAATACCTGATTGGTGTGGAGGAGCGTGGTGACCACCAGCGGGAGGATATCCTTGTGGAGGATATCCTGCAGGTGGGTATCCTCCTCCCTGTGGAGGATAACCCTGAGGAGGATATCCTTGAGGAGGATACCCTTGATGCGGAGGGTAAGCACCAGGCGGCGGAGGGTACTGCCCCGGTGGATATCCATGACCAGAAGAATGACCAGTCATACCGGGTATAAGATGGGAAAAGAGTCCCTTATCAGACCCATCCTGTCCACCTCCCATATTTCACTACTAGTACCTGTTACATGTCAAACATATTACAACAATGTCAAATTCAAAATAAAATGAAATTTGCAGAAGATAGAGAATATGACCCACAAGGAAATCAAATTGTAAATCCCTTTCAACTTTGAAACCTATAATGCTTTATGAAACATCAATCAGTCCAAGACAGAGTATGTGCAGCCACTAGCTTTGAGCTCATATCAGGATACAAGATAGCACACAACGGTTATAGAAAAAGGGTCACATGATACACAGTAAGCACTCTAAAACACATGAAAAGGGTGGACAATAAAACATGATAAGCTACTATTAGGGAAAAAGGGGGGGGGGGGGGGGGGGGGGTGACGATAGCTAAAAAAGTAGGTGAAAATGTAAAATTTAACACGACAAGTTATAACCAAAATTGCAGGAAGCCAGCAAATATGTTCTGAGCCAGAGCAAGTGCAAGAAACAGGAGGAGGGTAGGCATTAACATTTTTTTGTGTGGATTTCTAGGCAGTACCATTCTCTCCATCAAATTCAAAACTCAGATCCATCATATTTGATTAAATTTTCAGATCACCTTTAGGAAAACCAAGCCAACACCTCTTAAAGACTAGAAAAGCAAAGGTTACATGACTATTTCCTGGCCACACTTTTGTCGCACACATCAAAAAGACAAAAATCCCATAAAACAGGTCTCTACTCCTTTACACAAATTCATGCAAAAGGACAGTAATCATCTTCTAAAGAATCCAAATTCAGTTTCAGAATAGCACAATTCTCAACCCAAAAGCAGAAAAAAACGAATAGTCGAAGTTGATCTATCTAATCATTATTTGGTGATCATACAACAAACAAAAGCTCAAGAAATCAAAATGGTGGGACCAAACCCTCTGATCTCCATTTGACCAAACGCAAATCAAGAAAATATCAAACACAAGGGTATAAAAGATCAAACTTGTAAAAAAGAAAACAGATGTTATGTTTCAGAGTCGTGATCAACTGGGTAATTCAGATCCAATTTGATCATTCATGTATGACTTAACAAAGCAATATACAGAAGTAAAAAGGGAAGAAGGGTTCTTACAGATTTTCTTTGTTGAGCGAACGTTAAGCAAAGTTTTTCGAATGAAGATTTCCAAAGAGTGGATATGGTCTTTGAGTATTTATTAGTGGAAGATATTTAATTTATTCCACGCGTTACTTAAACGCGTACATGACGTGTCTACTTTCGATAAGGAAACGGCCAAANATATATATATATATCCATGAATATTCTGATATGTATTATATTACAAGTTTTAAAAACTTATAACACAAAATGTTGTACTCCGATCCAAGTGTATTTAAGATTATAAATTTCAGAAAATTTCATTATTTTTCTCCGTGTACAGACAAACTTTGGCAAATATAATTAATTGAAACGGATGAATTAATTGAAAACTTGATAAAAATAATACTCCCTCCGTTCTATAATAAGTGATCATTTTACCTTTTTTATTTTGGTCCAAAATAAGTGTTCTTTTACATAATCAAGAAGGAATTAATTTTATTTTTCCAAAATTTGTCCTTATTTACATATTCTAATGTGTCAAGATACAATTAATTAAGGTTAATTTAGTAAATACATCTTTATTTTTTAGGAGTTCGTATTTCCTTAATGGGTATACCAAATGTAAAATGATCACTTATTGTGATCCCGGAGAGTAATTAAGCTACTATATTATTATACTCAACTACACTGATGGTGTACAAATCATTACACCATTAATTTATGTATGTGACCTAAATTGTTTTCCGCGCGTATATAAAAGAAGGAAAACAAAAACTCAAGAAGTACTCTATAGACCATATCACCATAAGATGTAGGAATCGTACCATCATGTTGTCTTTGTCTAAGTTATAATTTTTTCTGGCTGCAAATGTGACTAATACTTTAGTACATGTATTGGCCACTTGGGCCATATTATTCAAACTCATTTTGAAACACTTTAATGTTGCAAAATTTCAAGGAAAAATGAGTCAATAAACTACAAGACGTGTACTATTCATTGTTGGGAACAATAGTACAAGAATTCATCTAGTTTGAATTTGAATTGCAAAATGAGGATGATATACACAGAAACTGAAGTGGTTATTTCCACTTCTTGAATTTCTTGCCAAACTTCTTGCCACCCTTAAACTTGCCATGCTTGAATTTTCCATGTCCATAATAGCCGCCGCCCCGTCCATGACTTGCAGCACCATGTGCTGCACCGTACGCAGCCGCCGCTGCGGCTATGCTTCCAGTTACTAATCCCATGCCTCCATGCCCTAAAATGTGACATCCAACTTAGTACAAACCAAAAATTACTATATATGATTTGATATAGTGTAATAATACAAACCTATGTACTAATTAACTATGGTCTCCAAACAAAAAAAAAACTTGTGAGTTTAAAAATGTCACGTAACTAGTGAAGATTGGTACCTGCATGGTGTGGAGGAGGGTAACCCACAGGAGGATACCCTTGTGGAGGATATCCACCGGCTGGTGGATACCCTTGTGGAGAATATCCACCAGCCGGTGGATATCCTGGTGCAGGAGGATAACCGGCCGGTGGATATCCTGGTGCAGGAGGATATCCTTGAAGAGGTGGATACACTTGCGAAGGATTAACTCCTGGATATGCTTGTGGAGGGTAAGCTCCGGGTTGTGGAGGATATTGCCCTGGATAACCATATTGACCTAGATGTTTATTTTTTCCGCCTCCCATTCTTCACGAATACCTAATTTTGACAAAACTATTACTTAATGAAATCAAACGGTAGATTTGGAATCAATTTATTGAAAAGGATATGATGCATTCTTTACATGATTAATGAGTTATGAGCAAAATAGCATGTTGTATAGATGAACAACAATAACACCAATTTAATTCGTATGGATGGTCTGGATGACATTTTATTGTTTAGGAAGTCAAAGGAAAAGTGTTATACACGAAATTAAACTTAATTGTAAAAACTTTAGTACGAAGATTTTGAAATGAGTAGTAGTTAATTATTATTTTTAAATCTTATAACTTCCGTGTGATTTGATTCCTAGTAAAATTAAGAAGCCTAAGCTCACAACTTTCAAGCTATCTAAACGCTAAGAAATACAAGGAAGTTGTCTTATGCTTCCTCTTTCATTTTCTGTCAATCGAAGGAATTGAAGATCTTAATCCAACATAAACAAGGGAAAAAAATATATATGCATTGCCAACCATGAAAAATCAAGAAGTTTAATTTGATGTTTAAAATGGCAAAAAACAAGACGGGAAAACGAAAAAGTGTATAAGGTAAAACAATCAGAAATCTGAACTTCAAGGTTTTATGATATGGCCAGATATATTCAACTTCTTAAATTAAAAGTAATGAAACAAATATAACATTTTGCAGAAAATGCCTAAGGGGCGCAGGAAAACCAAAGATTTGGAGTTCATAGTTCTTACAGGTTCTCCTTGCAGTTTCTTGGAGAGAAGAATGGAAGACAAGATGAAACACAATAGTATGATGGATGAAAATTTATAGCTTATTTTACTTGGCTAATTAATATATTGAGTGGTTGTGCAATACGATAAACATATTAACCAATGATTTCATTTCCAATTGTAGAGAATTAGGAATACATTGAGTAGTTATAGTTTGTTTTACTTGGGTGATCGATACGATCATTAAATATTGAGGTAATTTTTGGTTGGCTCACTTGGTTAATCACTAAATATTGAGTGGTTTTGGTTTACATACAACAAACAGAGTGACCAATGATTTTCTTTCTAAATCAATGAAATAGAAAAATATACATATATATTAGTAACCGAAAGGTTTTAACTAACACTTTAAATTGAGACCGTTTTTACTTTTTAACTTCAGCAATATTGTAATTTCAAATTTATACGTAGCCTGATCAGGATTGCGTCTAGCATTTAAGGTTCATCCAGACCTAATAGCTATGGCTCTAACTACATATATGTGCTAAAAGAATTTATTAAACAAATATAAAAAATAGATTATGAACCCAGTAAATCAAATAAATTATGGTCAAATTTTAAACTCGAAATCATAATATCCAAATCCTGGATCTACTTTTGAGTGTGATCCTGTGGAACAGAGGGCATATCCAAGATTTTTAGACGATAAATGCACTTTTACAAAGAAGTGGATCTAGTATTTACGTTTGATTGATTCAACCTTCAGGTTCTGACCATGTACTCATTACACATTTCAAATTATATATATATATATATATATATATACACACACTTGGTATCGTAGATGTCGGAATCAGTTAAACCCACTGAGGAATTAGTTTGCTTAGCTATGAGATTAAGATACCATGTCCCTTTGATAAGGTGTCAGCCTTCTGGTTCTTTTGATGAGAGATTAATTTATTGCATGCATAAATGCATGTGGCTTTACGTGATGGAATGGACAACGCAGTAGAGGAATATACCTTTTGATCGTCTGTGCTAATATTAAAGAAGGAAAACTACTACAATAACATCAACTAACGATTTTCCCCCTGGATCTATCTCCAGGTGATTATGAGTCACATTTTGGGTATTTAATGATAAGAGAGTAGCTTATTAGAAATATTAGGTGAAAACCAAACTTGGTAATACTTAATTTAGCGATCTAAAATTACAAGACAGCTAGAATGTCATCATCATTAGAGCCAAAAGCTTTAGCAATACACATGAGCAGTGGAATCAACAAAAACGCAAAGCAGCTTCTAGTTCCTTCTCGTCATCACAGTTATATCCCAATAAATAAGCTCGAGCTGAAACAGAAAAAAAAGGAGAAAAAACATGAATAAAAGGAGATGAGCAATCAACAAGCCAAAAGGAAAAATTGATACAAAGGTATATACCAAAACGACCCGATCCCATGAATGGCTCCGCTTCATCTGTAGTGCCACCTTGTTGCTGCTCCTATTATAAACGTAAAACTAGCTAACGATATAGTACTATATTATATACTTGTACTGAGCACATTATCACAGAGAGGAGATGCTACTATCCGTTCAAGGATGTATTTACAACAGACACCATACAAGCACAAGGTGCAAATAGAAAATACGCAAGATGCATTATACATTCTCAAATCAAAATCAGGCATGAACACGCTTCACATAGACTAAAAATCACAAAATATGCATGAGAGAAATTACATCCCACAATAAGATGAGAGGTGCCTACTCACACTCCGGAGAAAATAATCCAACCTAATTAAAGACCACTAATAAGACTAGGTTTTACAGTCAAGGAGACAGTTGACCTACTTCTCATTCCATCCTGCATAGCTGTTGTATTCTAGCTGTATGTTAACATCGGTGCAACAGCTTTACATTTTTAGTAAAAATAAGTGCAATTCCATATATGAACAGTGTACTTTATCCACCACAACCACCAAACAAGTAAGCTTTGGTGCATTACAACAACTGATTTTGCGGAAAATGCAGCGAATATTTTACCAATGCAAGAAGTTCCAAAACCACAGAAAACATAGGCTTTGAAGTTTATCTTTTATTTTGCTGCAGTTAATTCCAAGTTGCATTAGAATAAGCAGTAAACTGTTTCTATTTTCACCCTTTCTACATGGAACAAGGAATTTTGCTTCGCTCATAAACTTCGGTTCTTTCAGAAATGACACTACAAGTTACTTGTTTCTTACCCCATCTTGTTCCATTTCGGAAGGTGACAACATCCTTTCAAAACAGTGACCTGAAATGGTACACACCAGAAGACCATTTGTAGGATCAGGTACAACTTCCCTACATGTGTCATCACAAACTGCACATGCACACATAAAAGAGAACCAATAAGCGACAGTAGGTCAAGGTCAAATACACAGGAATCTCATTGTATATATCTAACGACTAAGTTGCACCTAAGCAACCCATTTCTTACCATGAACGTGTCCAGTTTTCTCACAAACATATACATCTCCTATTTGATAGTAATTGCACGTCTCCCCAGAGAACGAATGATCAATCACCACTTTATCACCCAGACCTTTGCTTTTATTCCACATAGAGACTTGATCAGCAACTGTTTTATCAAGAATTATTCGGTCATCATTCATCTGTACATTAAAGCCAAAAACTATGGTAACTATTCATAAGACCACATACAACTAGACGGAAATCAAAATGTAGGGTGTTAAGGTTTATTTAAGTGATCATTTTTTCGCTATTTATGTCTTGTTTTCACTGGGAAAAAAGAAAAGTGAAGGCATTGTTCACGTATGAAATAAAGGGAAAGGTCTCTTGGACGATTTACAGCCATAAATCAGGGATATAAATTATGAATTTATTTGTAACTGCCCAGACCCAGACTCAAATGCAATATTGTGAAGTCTCTAAAAAGACCTCCAGTCACCTGAGAAGGAAGAGGAGCTTGGCTTCTTTTTGCTGTCTGCATTTGGATATAATACTCCTTAAATTCCTTAGGAGTATTCCTGACAAACTCCATCATATCCTCAGCATCACGCTGTTTGAAAAAGTATTCAATTTGACCCAAATTAATTTAAATTTGAGGATACATCAAATTAGTAAATCAAAAACACACTTAATGCTAATATATACACACTACAGCAAAATAAAATTAATGAAACATCCCAGATGCCTCACTTAAGTATCTCGTCAATTGATCCTTTTTCTGAATTAGATAAAATCATAACTATCAAAGTCCACGGTATTTATCATATCCTTCCATTCATGATGACAGGCAGGGGCGGCCCGTCCATAAAGCGGGTAAAGCAATTGCTTTAGGCCCCACATTTATGGGGGGCCCATTTTTTAGTTATATCTATATTATATATATAAATTAAAAAATATATAAAATGAAACGGGAAGTNAAACATTAAGGCCCCTCATTAAAATTTGGCTTTAGGCCCCAAAATACGTCGGGCCGCCCCTGATGACAGGAATGAGACGACAGTTCCCCTTGCACTTCCCAGATATAATTTTACTATGTCCCTTCATAACCTTGATAAAAGTACATAAAAGTATGCTCTCTCTAACACTTTTATCTACTTAATTATATTATGCCTCAACATGTCTCCTTACGTTTGAACCTAACTCTTTTTTTTTCCAGGAGCCGGCCCTTTGGGCCAACCACAGCCTTCGAAACTCGGGGATAAAGGCCCACCCTCTAGCTTTCTCCACTTAAAAACCAGAGTTAGTTCGCTTGGTGCAAGGCTCGAACTTGTGACCTAAAGCACAAGTCGCTCAACCTTTGCCAATTGTACTAACCCCTGGGGGTGTACCTAATTCTTTTTCATGGGACAAACATGTGAAATTATTTTTAGTTTTTTTTTTAAGGTTGTGAGATTTGAACATAGAATCTCTTGCTTGCTTTGTTATAAAGAAAATGCATTTTCCTCTAACTCAACTCCAAAATCTAGCTCATGATGTGAGAATTGTCCAAAAATATATAAGGCGACAACAATAAATTTCCTCAACCAAGCCACACCTAGGGTTGGATATCTGGAGCGTGAACAATATAACATGAGGGCCTAATATTTGGTAAACCAGGAATAGTGATAAGTTTGGCTCAGATACCATGTTGAAGTAATTGATTATTTAGCTAAAAACTTAAAACGGTTAGAGAGAGCACATTTTTAACTACTTATTTATATTATGCCTCAACGAGGATAAACTTTCTCTAAACAAATTCAAGTTTTTAATTTTTACTCTCAAACTTAGAACTACTCACAATGATAGATTTTTGGGACGAATATATGCTTAATATAGCTAATGATCAAAAAAGTAAACTAGAATTTATGTAGGAGTAATTTCATATATGGTCATTGAACTTTGAAAAGCAGTAAAGTCACAGAATTATTTTTTATCACATTAAAGTAACTAAAATTTACCCACTATAATAATAGAGTCACTAAACTTTACCCACTATAATGGTAAGAAATTATCTTTAGACAAAGAATAGTATTGTGATCTAATGTCAAAGTTAGTAAAGTTTAGCGACCATACGATGACATTAACCCACTACATAGTTGTAATGCTTACTCAATGACAATTGGATCATACATTTTGAACAGGAGGATACCTGGATGTAAAGTTTCTTCCAGGCACATTCTCGTGGCTTTCTTGTTGGGAGCAGCAGACCCCATCGCATGCAGTACCTGAATTTATTAATCAACAACAACATACTCAGTATTATCCCACACTGTGGGGTCTGGGGAGGGTAGTGTGTACGCAGACCTCGAAATTTACGACGTTTGCTATAAATGTCAAATAAATGTCTGTAAATGATTTGTGACATTTATGTGACTCAAAATGACATTTAAAAAATGTCGTCGTAGGTCTATTTTCTTGTAGTGTAATCATCATCAATAAATTTAAATGAAAAATTGAGCTTCACAAATATGCTTCTCATAGAGAATGAATAAGTAAATGAATGAAAGGTCTTTTAACGCAAAGGTAGTTATGGTTCACGCATAGCAATTTCTATCTGTTAGGGTTGGCAAATGATTGGATGTTTAAAACACACACCCATTTAGAGGGAGATGTGGAAAAGTGGGAGACAAAGGGAGA